AAACCATAGCGTTACGCACAGGCAGAACTACAGACCGACGGACAGAGAGACTGATATTAATATCCCTCACTTTAGCGGGGGACAAAATATACGAGACGTATGACTAATATGAATTTGAAAAAAGTACTTTAAAATGAACACTTGAGAATTAATATTTTATAGATCAATGAAAGAATCATTAATTATATAAAAATATTAAAGTTAATGAAATACAAATTAATTTTTTGTTCTAATTTATATGTTATATTCAAGAAACCAGGGCGAATACAAGATTTATTAAACATCTAAAATTAAATTACTAATTTGATAAGTGGACCATGCAATTTGTGTTTAAAAATATCTTAATCTGCACGATACGCTTTCAAATATTAAACGTATCATGCAGATTACTTCTAGATAGAATTGTTTTTTTTTCTCACGAAACCATTAATAAACAATGCCATTTAAGAGAAATTAATATATTTTTTCTTCTAAGGACATGACCTGCATTAAGTGATGTTACTTCTAAACAAAGCTATCAAGAAGACTGACACTAGATAAGAATACTGTTGTTAAAACTTTGTTTGCTTATAAGAATGAAAGTTAGAAGTCGTGTAACGTCATATCAGTTTTATCGCAGTTCTGTGTTTGAGATTGGAATCCGGCAGTAACACAACGTGAAAATGCAATCAGATTTCGTGTTCCGGGTGGGGCAATCAGTCCCAATATACCGGTATGTTCAGTACAAGATAATTCCCTTTATTATCTTAAACATCTTGAAGACATGTACAGTTGCGAAGTACATGTAGGTGACACGAAATTACCTATTTAATACACATAGTATGGTGCTTACATTGTGTAAAATTTTTCAGCATGTATTTCATTTTAATACAATTGAATTTTAAATCATATTAAAATATTTGTTGCGAATACTAGGCCTAATTGAGCAAACACGGGCTTTGTAAAACATATGTGGGATCAGGTGTCATAGAGGACTACGCATCCCCTGTGCTATAGTTCTAATTATCATGATCAAGTAAACGGAACATTCCATAGACAAATCATTGAAAATAACGGTGTATCAACATAAATTCAAAAGAGTCAGTCTACATTCTTTAAAATTTATAGATTTATATGCTTCATTGTAGTGTATCGCACATAATTATGCTAAATGTTGATTTCAATCGAGACTGTGATATTATTTATTTGTTAAAGTCTTACATGTACCTCGTTTTGGAAAAAAAGTTCTCATGCAGAACAATTTGGAGACAACAGTTACTGCTCTATATGAATTTACGAGTGCAATAATACTCTTACATTTCAGTAATGCACATATATTGGAAGAAGAAGGCGATAATGGTTAAAATTGATGCTTCGTAAAAGAGGGATTGATTGCCTGTTGTTTTACGTCTATTCGAGGAATATCATTTAAATAGAGACTTCAGCAATGAACAGTGAAGCGCTTTAAGTTTAGAAAGTATCGACAGTCAGGGCCATTGAGCAGAGAATTTCGAAGTCTTTTATCGTACCAGTGATATATCATGACAGAGAACCTCGGTTCTTAAGCTATAGGCATCGTCCGAAAATATTTTCATTTTCAAATGTCGGGCGCTTGGTTAAGGAAATGTTTGTTTGACACGGCACGGCAATTCATGATCAACGAGATTCGAACTTGGGTATCCCATTCACGGAGAGAACGTTTACTACTAAAGGCCACTAAATACACGGGCTATTTTTATACCCCCCGCAAACGAAGTTTGGGGGGGTATATAGGAATCACCTTGTCCGTCTGTCTAGCTGTCCGTCTGTCTGTCTGTGCAATCGTGTCCGGTCCATATCTTTCTTCAGAGGGACATTGGAATCTACTACTCCACACAAAGATTGCCCATTACCTAAGGGTGTGTATGACCTTGAACCAAGGTCATTTGGGGAAGTTCAAGGTCACTGGAAGAAAAATTTCATGATTCGTGTCCGGTCCATATCTTTCTTATTAATATACTTGGAAGGTTCTTATTTCACACAGATTGCCCATGACCCAGGGGTGTGTCATGACCTTGACCCAAGGTCATTTGGGGAAGTTCAAGGTCACTGAAAGAAAAATTTCATAATTCGTGTCCGGTCCATATCTTTCTTATGGATAAAATTGGTAGGTTCTCATTTCACACAAAGATTGCCCATGACCGAAGGGTGTGTCATGACCTTGGCCCAAAGCCATTTGGGGAAGTTCAAGGTCACTGGAAGAAAAAATTCATAATTCGTGTCCGGTCCATATACATGTACTTCTTATGGATAAACTTGGTAGGTTGTTATTTCACACAAAGATTGGCCATGACCCAAGGGTGTGTCATGACCTTGACCCAAGGTCATTTGGGGAAGTTCAAGGTCACTGGAAGAAAAATTTCATAATTCATGTTTGATACATATCTTTATTATGGAAAAACTTGCTTCTGAAAAACCCAGCGGGGGGTATTTTGTCCCGTTTGGACAGTTCTAGTTAAATAAGGTATTTTAACAAGTTAGAGTCATTACGTATATCATCCAGTACAGTTGCTAGCCTGCTATATAGATCTTTATGTGAAAAAAAAATATCTGAAATTGAATCAGGTGTTTTGAACTCTGAAGTATCCATAAGGTTGAGTTCAAAATATATATCGATTGAATGTGCATGTAGCTTTGAAATTATTTGGTTCATTGATAAAACGTCCTTATATAATTTAGGTCAGTGTCTAATTGAAGGCCACAGCAAGAAACTTCTTTGCTTTCATAATATTATTTAATAAAAATTTTTTATTATTAATAAGCAACTAAATAAAAAAATATTCACCGATTTTGCATTTTAAAAACTAAGAATTACTACATGTAGATCAAGCTATACAATTAATGCATGGAAGTCACCATTGCAGTTTAATTTGTCTCATAGTACACTAGTTAACAAGTTCATAATAGTAATTTATAGAAACAGCATATTTTAACTACACCATTAAAGAAACCAAAAGAATTGCTTATTATAATACATTTAACTTAAGAGAGATGTCTACATCGTTGTATACAAGTTAATTTTGAAGACCAATATTTTTAACTAAAATTACTTCATCGTGAAAGGCGTTAACATAAAAATTTAACATTATGATGAAGAGTGAGAGAAAATTGCTCAAATTTATAGTTTGGTTGTCCCACAAACGACGTGATGTATGGAATCAGTGCGTGAAATAAAAATTCAGGATGTTAATTTTCTCACGACTTTGTTTTGAAAAGTCAGGTAGGTTTTGACTGACTCCCACTATAATGACGAATTCGGAAGAGGAAGTCTTTTGATCATTAGTGTGGACAAACCGTCCAATTGCTTTTTTCTAACTACAAATCTTTTTATCTTAAAATCTGTATGAGCTTGGGTTTTAAAATATTTCATTGCTTGAACAAGCCTAGCATCTTTACCTGCAAGATATTGACTACCACAGAAAGCTTAATAATGATATTTTGTAAACATTGATCAAGTCATTTCTCTTTAACATCACCGGTACTGCATTTTCCTTGAATATATCTGTACAGGCCTTAAATTTTTATGTAAATATGCAAATACATGTAACAGGGAAGTGCACAAAAAATTCACAGCATGAATTTCGGCATGCAAATATAATTTTAACCTGAGAATTAAGAAACAGATAAAATTCGATAAAAAGACATAATAACATGGTTCATTACATCTTTTTTTCTTTAATTTTCAAAAACGAATATAATTTGGTGTAGCAATCTTTTACGAATATTCAAAAATCGTTTTAACGCTTTAAATTCACATTAACTTTTAATGTATAAATTAGCTCTAATAAATTAATATATATTTTCTAAAGTCCTAAATGTCGAATTGGAGTAAACAAGTTTAATTCGTTAAAACAGATTAAGACAGAAAGATTTAAAAGAAGTATTAACGAAATCGATAATTCAATTAAATTATAGAACTCCAAAACATTTCTGTTAGGTTTAAAATGGTCCTCCGAATTTTTTTTTATAGGATTCTAAAATATCTCTATTAGGTCTTAAATGATTTTCCGTATTTTTGAAAATATCATTATGATAACATGTATGTTATCAAAAATATTTCTTATAAAGCGTAAACTGTTTGTTTTCACGGATCAAAATATAAATATTTAAATCATTGTAACATGGAATTTCTAATTAGAAATTTGTCATTGAATACCTTAAACGTGATGCATGGATAGAAATCTTAAGATAGGTATTGACAAGGATGTTCCTGTAACAGACACTCCTTGTCAAAACCGCTATCGAAGATGTTTTTCTATTCAACTAAGAAAAACTATTATCTTCAAATCTTCTCTAACAGAACTTGACAATTTTCCAAAGCTGAAAAAATGGATTTAGAATATAAAAAATTCTCGTTAATATATTTCATTAAGAATATTGGAAAATTCCTGTGCATGTACTGGTGGTTTTAAATTTAAATTTCATCTGATATTTCCCATACATAGTTATCATAACTTTCATTTTTTTTATTTTATTGTTTCAGAGAAAAGTTAAACCAAAAATTAAATCATAAAAAGACATATAATGACAAAGATTAATTTTTGGTGTGCACTCTTATTTTGGATGATCTGATTATCAGCTTTATGTTTGAAAAAGGTTTCCCCCTGAGTTACATAGAAAAAAGAACGCGCCAGGCTCCGTAGAAATGGGGAGACGCTTGTTTAAAAGTTTCTTCATTATTTTTGACTAAATGGACCAGATTGATCAAACTTTGGTCTAAACATCTTTTGCTATAACAACGTACGGAATTTACAGTCTGACAGAAAGTAGGGATGGATATTGTTTTGGTCTTATCGGGTAAAAGGCGTCACGATTGTCCGTTACCCAACTGACTTAAGGGAAATCCAACCAAAAAAATTATCGCATGCGAATCGATGCATAATTCTTATTCAAGATAAGAGACGATGGCATTCACTTAATTAATTGACGTGTTTGCCCTGAGGCGTGAGATTGTATTCAAATAGCAGTGGCTTGTCGTTGTCTAAGTCATACGGTAGATAGGCAGACGAGAGAGAGGGTCGGTAAAAAACAAAAGTATTCTTAGTTTGAATGCCACTTCCGATCCTGTTTGCTCGATAGAATCAAAATTTTACTTTTATTTATTTGGATAGACAACAGACACTTTCAAAATGCCTAAATTAAGTCTTTTGATTTTCTTTATTCTGCCTGGAATCGTTCTATGTGTGTCCAGTAGTTGTAAACAAGGTGGAAACTGTGTGCTTCCTGGATGCTATTGTAGCACATTCAAACACGAAATGGACACTACCAAAATACCGCAGATTGTATACTTTGGATTTGACGATGCCTTAACGACTGTGCTTCCAGCGTATTATGATCGCCTTTTCAATCACACTTCTAGGCGGAATCCGAACGGATGTCCCATTGGAATGACTCTTTATGTTTCTCATACATATACACAGTATCCATTGGTAAAACGTTATTACAAGGAAGGTCACGAAATTGCCGTGCACAGTGTTACTCACACGCATATTAAAACTCGAGCAGATCTTCAACGCGAAGCAGATAAACAAAAGAGAAATATCGCCAAATTTGCCGATATTCCCCTTGATGATATAATCGGGTGGCGGAGCCCATTCCTGGAGACAGCAGGAGACGAACAAGCAGAAGTCTTAAAGGGATTAGGATACAGATATGATATTTCTCTCACCTATAAGAGGTCCAAAATGAGTGGACAAAGCCCTTTTCCTTTTACTCTTGACTATGGTTGGACATTCTACTGTCAAATAAAACCTTGTCCGACAAGGTCCCACAGAGGGTTTTGGGAATTTCCTGTCAATTCATTAATGGATTATAAAGATCAATATCCATGCGGCTATGTAGATGGTTGTTACAATGCTCCAAAAACTGAAGAGGAAGCTTATCAATACCTGTTCAAGAACTTTAAAAGTTCATATGAAGGCAATAGAGCCCCCTTTGGACTTCACATGCACGCAGGATGGTTTTATACACAATTTCATTTAGATGCAATGGATAGATTTATTAACGACATATTAAAAAACGAAGATGTATATATTGTTCCAGTGAGACAAGCATTAGAATGGATGGAACACCCAACACCAATGAATGAACTTGATACTTTAGGAACATGGTCATGTCAAAACCCGAAAATTCGACCATCTGCTCACCATTCACAGCAACAACAACGACCAATGGCACCGGTGCCTCAACGCCCTAAATCATCAAAAACAACAACTACATCAACCACTACCACCACCACAACTACAACTACACCAAAACCATCTACAACGACTATCAAAATGCCTGTGTGGAAACCCACTCCTCCAAAAACCACGAGAAAACCTGCCTGGGCTCCACCCCCTCCCCCAAAGAGATTGCCATCGCCTCCAAAAAAGAATTTCTGGTCTTGGGTACAGCCAACAAAGAAATTTGAACCAAGCACCACGTCAACATTACCTCCAACAACTACTATTTCTACAACTCCTGTTCCAACGACAATATCAATTCCCAAACGTCCAGCAAATCCAGGTGGACCGTTTGTTTTAACATCGAATTCATTGAATCCTGAAAATATGAGGGAAAACTTTGCTAACAATCACAACATGATGCAAGCTTTGGAAACTTTCTCGTCTACTCCCCGAGTAATTGCCGAGGGTTTTATTGAAATTACACCTCGTCCTGACCTAGACAATAATGCACCAACTACGTTTCAACCATTGGGTGACGGATGCATACAGGGTGCAAATTGTCAACTGCCGTCTTGTCTCTGTAAAGGAAAGACTCCACCAGAACATATGGCTTGGACAGACACTCCGCAATTCGTCTATCTCACATTTGACGGGCCTATTCAAGAAAGAATATATCAGAAATACTATCAGATAATTGGAAACTCTAGGAAGAACCCAAACAATTGTCCTGTTGTATCAACCTTCTTTGTTTCTCAATCGGGTTCGTCAAATAACCTCATTAAACGACTTTATGACAGGAGCAATGAAATAGCACTTAAAGGATATGGTGGAATGCCGACGACTAATATGTCGATTTTTGAGGAAGGCATGATTGCTCAAATTTCAGTTTTACAGAGAATGGGCATTGATATAATCCAGGGCTGGAGAAGTCCTAATTTGAAGCCACTAGGCGATGAACAATTCAGGATTCTAAGAGACTACCAATACGTTTACGATGCCACGCTAACAACTCAATATCAGAAAGGTCCTCGATATTGGCCTTACACCTTGGATTTCAACAATGGAGACGAATGTGTTATAAAGAAATGTCCGAAAGAATCCTATAGTGGATTATGGGAAGTCCCTACTTCGCCTGTTTTGGACTATCTCGGACTCTATCCATGTAACTTTGTTGATGGATGCACCAATTCACCTACAACTGCAAATGACACCTTCAATTTCTTATGGAAAGAATTTACTCAACATTACACAACCAATAAGGCACCACTCGGTTTACATTTTCGGCATATTTGGTTCACACATCCTTTCTTTAATGATAATCTAGTCGGACTTCAAAAGTTTTTGGACAAGGTTGGTGAATATAAAGACGTTTATTTTGTTACCATTCGAAATTTGATAGAATGGATGAGACACCCTACAACGGTAGATCAGCTGAATAAGGGACACCTCTGGCAATGCTAATGGGTCGGCTTCCTCTACAAATTTCCATTCATTCCTTAACTAAATTTTGCCCAACCTTTTTAAATGCAAAATCTCAATAATTGTCAAACTAAAGAATATATTTTGGATAAGAGCGATCTGTGGTGTAATTTTTTATGCTAATATGTTGGGAATATGTATAAGGTGATAAAAATACACATAATGCACGAGCCAGAGCATATGGCAAAACCAATAACAGATCATGTTTCCGTATTTTATGACTGTTTTATGAGAGTAGCATATCAACGATCAATCCTCATTACTTGTGTATGAACTAATACAATTAAATAGAGTACACCATCATAAATTAAAAACACGCGTGATTTAATAAAAATTGCTAATTGTTTTCAGTAACAAATATAAAGTATCACTTGCTTTTCGAAGAAGATTTTTTAAATTCTTCAATTAGTAATTTTTCTCTCATGCAGAGGAGAACAATACGAAAATTTTTCTTTTGATTTTTTATTTAACGATTGATAAAAGCAACGATTATATAAAAATTATACACAATATTAATTATTCCTTTGTGCATTCATATGTCAGTATAATTATAGACATATCTAGAATCTCAGAAAAAATGAAATCCATCTTTGTGCTTTTTGCTGTGATATTGAACTTGCTTTTCTAAACGACACTGCCTGTGAGAAAAAAATATTGAAAAATATATTTTGTGAATATGAAATCTTAATTTGCATCATTAAATTTTAAAGGAAACTTTGGTATAAATAACTAAGTCATTATTGTACAAAAGCCGGTCTTAAGGCTGCTCTCATTTATAATTGTTTCTCTACCACAAGGTTAGTTTCTTTAAGTAAATTTACTGGTAGATCCACTGTTATTCAACGTAAGTTTTTCACCTGCCTTTTACCATTTTGGAATGCTAATCATTATCGCTAGTTCTAAATATATTTTTACGAGTTTTTTTTTTATGTCGCTTGATGATTTATATATTAAAATATGTTTATAAAGAAGGCGTTGGTTTGTCTCAGATATAATAATCACAAAGATAATCAAGAAAGAGGCGTACAGGTGGTGATTTTTCGATTAGAATCTAATGTATCGTGTGGTCCCTGACTTAGGTTTTTATTTCCATGTGGTCAGATTGTTTTTGTCTTTTAGAACAATGATCTGTTTCACACGTTTACTAATATATATAAAAAAATATCTTCATGGACTCCACGTTTGCCACAGACACTGGTTCCACCATAATGTTCCGTTGTGTATTTTTTTCCTGTTGAGGCTTAGTATAATTGCGTCAGATCGAGTCTTAATCGTGACTAGACTTCGATTATATAAGGAAGCATGCAAACTTTGCAAATCATTCAAATACATCGTGAATGATTGATGAACGTAAAGAAATAGCTCAACATAAAATTTAGGGTTTTGTAGTTGAGTGTAGATGTTCTTTAAATCTTGATAGTAATGACTTGATTGGAGGATACATGTATCGTTTGTGTGATATCATCAATTCAATACTACAGTTTTGAAAATTCATTTCTAGGAAAATTCTTATTTATCGTTTTTATTTTCATTGAAAATACAGAGGTCTAAATATTAATGTCACATTAAAATTAAAAAAAAATATTACTTGGTGAAAAATGAAAATTAATGTGAAAAATATTCTTCGCGTGTTTGCTCTGCTCCTATTTTGTATTGTTTTATGGACTTATGATCTTGAATACTGTTCGTTATCTTCATTTGTTTCATTGATCGACTCCCCACCCCCTCCCATAAAAATCTAAACGCAATACAATCTGTGAACATGGCATAAAACAAAACAAAAACAAACAGAAATTTCAGGGTTGGGATCAGTTATCTTGTAGATCGATCACACACGCAATGAGCCAGTACACTATATTGTCCCCCGCTGAAATCGGGTGATACAAACTTTGGTCTGTGTGTCCGTATGTCTGTCGGTAGTTCTGTCTATAACATTTATGTTTCCACGCGATATCTCGAGAAGCCTTTGAGCTTTTGCAATGACATTCAATATCAAAACTTCCTATTTATTTTGAGGTGAAGGTCGTTCTGTGTAAAGCTTTCATTTCTGGGTGATATCTCGAAAAGTTTTGCGTTTTGCAATTCAAAACTATAGCTTCCCATGGTCCCGCCCGCCCGTCCATCTTGTAGGCCGCCCCCTTTAGATTCACGCATGCTCTTCTTTTCTTAAGCGGGGGGGGGGGGGGGGGGGGCACGAATTCTTTTTTTTAATTGGTTCATGTTTATGATTCATTAAATTTTTTTCCATTTATTTTTAAGCATATAATGTATACCAGAAATTAAATATGTAACGTTAATTTTATGTTACAAGATATGTTAAATTATTTATTATCGAAGAATAAAACACTACGTTTTACTTGCCAATCATTAATAATTCATCCAGACCATTTCAATGTAACAGTACTATTTTCTTATGACACGGTAATCTGTTACTTTATTTAAAAAGTCAATATTTTTCCTCACATTTACGTGTTTGTACGTACTTAGAATAAATTTATCTGAATAAAATTGATTGATTTTGAAAATATATTTTCTTTGATGCTGTCACACATTTGCATTGATGTCTTTATGTAAGAGTATTTTAACCACAAAGAACTTTGACGAATCAACTGAAAACAAGATCCTATCCACGATGTCTACTGTCTTTGTTTCTATTATTATATAATCAACAACATTTTTAGGCGATAATAAATAATTTGAATAAATTGTACTATGGAGAGTTCAACTGCAAAATGCTAATGAATTGTCGGCTTATTATTTAAATGATATTTACTATTCTTCTTTACGTCCTAGACGTCAGCAAACTAATCGAATTGTTTTGTCCCGGACTAGAATGACGGTCTGTCATTGAGTAATTTGACAACGGACCTCACGTTTCCACATACATGTGTATGTCTATATTCTTGTGGACGACGTATTACAAATACAGACAGCAAGGTCCACGTTAATCCATGATTAAGTAATATAACAAGAGATATTTTTCCCTTTTTCGTAAAAGCAGTTTCATTTTAGTTACGAAATTTTGATTATGTTCTCAAAATCATCATAAATTTTTAAAAAATTGATGTTTTAAATTTCACTTAATCTGTTTCGTTATTTTTCGAAGTCAGCATTTTTTAAAATAGATAATACAGACTTTGTCATGTTCGGAGAAAACAATGGACACTATGGACTGTATGATCTACAATATATTTTGCAGGTTTCGTAATTTCCAGAAAACACTGTTTTCCCTTTTGCTTCCACAATAGTAATGGTATTAGTTGTAAACGCCGAACTTACAAGCTAATTCAAAGAATCTGTATCCTCCGTTTGAGAAAAAAGGAAGAGCATATCCGGATCTATGGATTTCGAAGGGGAGCATTTTAAGAAGGGCGGGTTGGGCCATTGGGAGTTACGGCATAAACATTAATTGCAAAAATGAAACATATGGAGATAACGAACAGTATTCAAGATTAAAAGTCCATAAAACAATACAAAATAGGAGCAGAGCACATACGAACCTCCAAAACATCAAAGAACTCGGTTCACTTCATATCATATTTGGCCCTGACAATTTCCAAAAAATTTAGTTCAAACTGAATCAAAACTATATAGTAGAAATAATTCTTGGATATATGCTTGCTTAAAATATATATTAAAAATTTGAGAATGTGTCCCTGTTTAACTATTTAGAAAATTTTAAAAATCAAAAATCAACTACAAAAGCATTTTTCAGGAATCAAAAATTTTCACTTTTTAAAAGCCTTTATGCAAAAAATTGTAATGGTGATATTGTGGGCCTCAAAATGTTTATTAAGTAGTTGATTTTAAACATTTTTCCGGCGCATTCTTCTTTTTGACCCCCAATAAATAGTTAAGGCATAGTATATCCAACATTTATTTCCACTATATAGTTTTGAGGTATATTTTTTGGAATATCATTGAAAAGTGAGCTTTTACAAACAGACAAAACGCAAACACTTTTACTCAAAATATATTGGCGTCTTCTTTAAGGCATAGTGAGTGGAGGTATATAATATCATTGAAAAGCTCGAACGCTTTTCAAAATATAGAGCGGAAACGAAATTGTTAAAACGGTCCTAATTCTCTCGACCTTTGACCTCTTGACCTCCAAATCGATGGGACTCTTTCATAGATCATTGGAGGTTGTGTAAAATTTCACTGCAAAAGCTTGTCGAGATATCGCGTGGAAACAAAAGTATTACAGACAGACTGACAGACAAATAGACCGAAATTTAAAATTCCCAACTTTAACTTGGGGAAAACAAAAATGTCTCTTCTAAAGTTTTATATTGTTTGCTTGGATCTTGCATCATTCTACATGATAAGGGATTTCATGTGTTCTAAATGCAGTCCAAGTGTGGAAAAACAAGACTCTAAAGTGACCTTAATCGACAGTCAAGCTTTAAAATCTCATACAAATCTAACTTTTTGTACTTAATGGTTCCCAACTTTATATTAAATCAGACTTATGTTAAAGCGAAAACGAGTTTGGTAAGAAAAAAATTATTAGTTGTTAAGGATGGCATTAAAATTATAGAAAGAAAATAAGTATAATATATTAAATTCAGAAAAAGTAATTAACCCTTCATATATGGGGCCAAATTTGTCAGTTTATATGAAAATAAGACCACAGCAATCATGGACATTTATATGGTAATGATGACAGGTTTCACTGTGACCTGTGGCAAATTATGATAAATGTTATCAGACAAGGAATAAAAATGAGGAATAAACGTCTCTGGGCTCAGTGAAAATCCATGTCGGACACCAATGGACTATATAAAACCTGTATTTTACACACAAAAAATAAGGCAAATGATTCCTTACAAGATGTGTATAGTGTAAATATATGCATTGTATAAACGTCTGAATCGCTCGCCTTTTGTGTTTACATGTTTTACATGCACTGGCGGTAGCTAATGAGATATGTCATGGTATGGAAGTCGGGCATTGTCAATTTGAATGTAGTTTCCTAATTGAAACATGCTTACTGTATGATACATTGAACAACACGGACATGGTTTCATCTCATCCTAAGGTTATACCATGTAATACAATGCAAAATAATAATTTGAGGTCTAAATTGACAAAGAAA